TACTTAAGTAAATGTGATATTTCCGTTTTTTTTTTTTTTTAAACCTGTTTTTGCTTTGTCATTATGGGGTATTGCGTGTAGATTGATGAGGGGGGGGACAATTTAATCAATTTTAGAATAAGGCTGTAACGTAACAAAATGTGGAAAAAGTAAAGCGGTCTGAATACTTTCAGAGTGCACTGTATTTAGCGTGTTTCAACAGCTTCTTATCTAGTATTATTTTGGGGTTCCTTCGGTCCGGTAGCCTACAGCGATGCTATAACTGGAAATTCCTTTGGTCTTTACTGAGTTAGGTAAATCAGTTTTAGTTTTTTTTGCACCGTGTTTGTGGAACAATCTAATAAATGTTCTCATATTGGATGTTTTGGAGCCTCTAGGGCAATTCAGAAAGCTGATCGGGGACCTTATTATAAATGTGTCTGTTTTTTATGTTTTTTCTTTCTGCTTGCATTTAGTAGGACTATTTGTATTTTGATGTTTGTATTTCTGTCATTTCTGTAATTCAGGGCTCATCTGTAAAAGAGACCTTGGTCTCATTATGACTCCCTAAAAATATGTAACATGGCAACCTCAATGCTGCTAAGGGAAATTACCCAAAATGCGCTGATTTTGAAATCGTACCATTGATTTCTAATAATTGAATTAATGTGCAACTTTTACACATTTTGAACCGCACAGTATTCATATTCATAAATTATCTACGTAATGATGTTGGAACTTTGCAGTTTTGTTGTCTTTTTCTGAAGCCTTTTTTGGTGGGTGGCCTGTGTGTCTATGTCACTGAGATAGGCTGCAATAAGAACGGTCTAAATGTGTGTGTGTGTATATATATACAGCTGTGGAAAAAATTAAGAGACCACTGCAAATTTTTCTTACATCAGCATCTCTACATTTCCGAATGCACTGTATTTCATTCCATTCCAGTGTCTGTTGAATTCCAACACAGGCACACCTCATTCTACTGAATTAGGTACTGATTAGGTGATCACATGAACCAAATCTTATTTAATGAGGAAAAGTATAAAAAACACTGCTGTGGTCATCACTATCCTCTTGCAATAGGACCAGCTGGATGGTAAACACAGTGCTAATAGTACCTCAAAAGTAATATTAATCAAAAAATAACTATTGACCATGCCAAAACAGTTGAAAAGGAAAGTTTTGAGTGAGGAAAAGAAGGGTTCAATTCTGGCTTTACTGGCAGAGGGATACAGTGAGCGTCAGGTTGCTTCCATCCTTAAAAATTCAAAGACGGTGGTTCATAATATCAAGCAGCAGACATTGGGGACAACAAAGCTACAGACCGGCAGAGGGCGAAAATTACTCTCTACTGACCGGGACGATCGCCAACTCATTCGAATGTCACTCAACAACTGTAGGATGACATCAAGTGACCTACAAAAAGAATGGCAAACGGCAGCTGGGGTGAAGTGCACAGCGAGGACGGTTCGAAACAGGCTCCTAGGGGCAGGGCTGAAGTCGTGCAAAGCTAGAGAAAAGCCCTTCATCAATGAGAAGCAAAGAAGAGCCAGGCTGAGGTTTGCAAATGACCATAAGGATTGGACCGTAGAGGACTGGAGTAAGGTCATCTTCTCTGATTAGTCACATTTTCAGCTTTGCCCAACACCTGGTCGTCTAATGGTTAGACAGAGACCTGGAGAGGCCTACAAGCCACAGCGTCTCGCACCCACTGTGAAATTTGGTGGAGGATCGGTGATGATCTGGGGGTGCTTCAGCAAGGCTGGAATCGGGCAGATTTGTCTTTGTGAAGGACGCATGAATCAAGCCACGTACAAGGTTGTCCTGGAAGAAAACTTGCTTCCTTTTGCTCTGACATTGTTCCCCAACTCTGAGGATTGGTTTTTCCAGCAGGACAATGCGTCATGCCACACAGCCAGGTCAATCAAGGTGTGGATGGAAGACCACCAGATCAAGACCCTGTCATGGCCAGCCCAATCTCCAGACCTGAACCCCATTGAAAACTTCTGGAATGTGATCAAGAGGAAGATGGATGGTCACAAGCCATCAAACAAAGCCGAGCTGCTTGAATTTTTGCGCCAGGAGTGGCATAAAGTCACCCAACATCAATGTGAAAGACTGGTGGAGAGCATGCCAAGACGTATGGGCTCCCGAGTGGCGCAGTAGTCTAAGGCACTGCATCTCAGCGCTTGAGGCGTCACTACATTCCCCCTGGTTCGATTCCAGGCTGTATCACAACCGGCCGTGATTGGGAGTCCCATAGGGGGGCGGCGCACAATTGGCCCAGCGTCGTCTGGGTTTGGCCGGTGTAGGCCGTCATTGTAAATAAGAATTTGTTCTTAACTGACTTGCCTAGTTAAATAAAGGTAAAATAAAAATAAATAAAAAAATGAAAGCTGTGATTGAAAATCAGGGTTATTCCACCAAATATTGATTTCTGAACTCTTCCTAAGTTAAAACATTAGTATTATGTTGTTTAAAAATGAACATGAACTTATTTTCTTTGCATTATTCGAGGTCTGACAACACTGCATATTTTTTTGTTATTTTGACCAGTTGTCATTTTCTGCAAATAAATGCTCTAAATGACAATATTTTTATTTGGAATTTGGGAGAAATGTTGTCAGTAGTTTATAGAATAAAACAAAAATGTTATTTTTACCCAAACACATACCTATAAATAGTTAAACCAGAGAAACTGCTAATTTTGCAGTGGTCTCTTAATTTTTTCCGGAGCTGAATATATATATTTTTAAAACCAAGTCTCGCGAGACTACGTAGCCCATAGCGTAGTTGCGACGAGATCCATGAAATCAACCATATTAAATGGGTCATGGTAAGAAGCGATCCACGGGTCCGAAATCGCGCAAAAAGTTTCAAATTAAAAGTCCTCCGTTTACTTGAACAAGATCACAAATCGTAGTATATTTTTCCTGTTTCAAGATGCGTTCTGTTTCTCTGATCCTACCCGCTCCCTTTCATGCCATTTTAGGAGGCATTGAGGCGTGTTGTTGAGTTCTAGTGGTTTTTTGTAGTCTAAATAGTTACTCTGCCAAGGTGGGTAAATGAAATAAAATAGGCAATCAGTACATGTACAAAAACGTAATTAAAGTTATGTTAATAAGGGGACATCGAAATGGGTATCAAACAACAATGTTAAATATTAATCAGTTGAAAAGGAATTCATGATTGAAAGGTCAGTATTCTTCATTAAATAATTCCTGGAATAATAGTTTAATTTCCCTTCCACTAGATGGCACTGTCCCCCATGCTGCTCCCAGTCAGGGGTCTGAGGATTCAGAAACTCAGAATTCAGAAGCTGTATAGGGCTGTGAGAGAGAGAGAGAGAGAGAGAGAGACAGAGAGAGAGAGAGAGAGAGAGAGAGAGAGAGAGAGAGAGAGAGAGAGAGAGAGAGAGAGAGAGAGAGAGAGAGAGAGAGAGATGAGAGAGAGAGAGAGAGAGAGAGAGAGAGAGAGAGAGAGAGAGAGAGAGAGAGAGAGAGAGAGAGAGAGAGAGGACAAGGTAGCACGCCCATTGAATCAGGTCAGGGGTCCACAGCTGCAGAACTGGATCAGCATCACAACCGGGTGGACTGGGGACAGGGACAGCCAGGAGTCGTCAGGTGAGGCATGGTCCTACGGCTCAGGTCCTCTGGGAGGGGAGACAGAGTGGAATTAGAGAGAGCATGCCTAAAATCACACAGTACACTAGATAAGACAGACTGACCGTAACCTCCTGGCACATAGGCTATTGCAGCATAGGGGCTGTCGGGGGATACTGTGCCCCGTCCAAGGTTACTCTTGGAACAGGCCAATTTGAAAATGTTATCTTCAAAGCATGATTAAATCCTGTTCTGTTACGAATTGACAGCAGTTAAACTTCCAGCAACAGTGTTGGTATTGTGTGGTTATTGTTTGTTTTTTTACAGGGGACTACATCAACAAACATCATCGTTATATACTGAACAAAAATATAAATGCAACATGCAACAATTTCATTGATTTTACTGAGTAACAGTTCATATGAGGAAATCAGTCAATTGAAATAAATTAATTAGGCCCAAATCTATGGATTTCACATGACTGGGAATACAGATATGCATCTGTTGGTCACAGATACCTTAAAGAAAAATGGGCCTCAGGATCTCATTATGGTATTTTTGTGCATTCAAATTGCCATCAATAAAATGCTATTGTTTTCATTGTCTGTAGCTTATGCCTGCCCATACCATAACCCCACCGCCACCATGGGGCATTCTGTTCACAACATTGACATCAGCAAACCACTCGCCCACTTGACACCATAAACGTTGTCTGCGGTTGTGAGGCCGGTTGGACATACTGCCAAATTCTCTAAAACGATGTTGTGCATTCAAGCACGTTGTGTTTATGGTAGAGAAATTAACATTACATTCTCTGGCAACAGCTCTGGTGGACATTCCTGCAGTCAGCATGTCAATTGCACGCTCCCTCAAAACTTGAGACATCTATGGCATTGTATTGTGTGACAGAACTGCACATTTTAGAGTGGCCTTTTATTGTCCCCAGCACAAGGTGCACCTGTGTAATGATCATGCTGTTTAATCAGATTCTTGATATGCCACACTTGTCAGGTGGATGGATTATCTTGGCAAAGGAGAAATGCTGACTAACAGGGATGTAAACAAATTTGTGCACAACATTTTAGTAAAATAAGCTTTTTGTGGGTATGGAACATTTCTGGGATCTTTTATTTCAGCTCATGAAACATGGGACCAACACTTTACATGTTGCATTTATATTTTTGTTCAGTGTAGTTAAAATACAGTAACTAGATATTTGTTAACTGATTTCAAAAATATATTGTTATTTTTTTCAATAAATGTATATTTAAGTAACATTAAACTATATGTTTTATGATTTTAATTCAGTTAAATTATTTCAGGGGGACTTTTATTTTGAAAAGTAGCCGTATGATCACGTGACCTTAATGTCGCTAGTTTCACAATGCTGTGGAGACGGTAGTAGAACAGAGTTGAGTTTGTTGAAGGAGGAAGGCAGTCTAGAAGGGGAAACTGCAGTAAAAAACATAACAAGTGTGAGGAATTCAGGGGTTTCCAACATGGCATCATGCGATACCCTGTACATCGAAACGGACGGCTCAGAGATGCCAGCTGAGATAGTGGAACTCCATGAAATCGAAGTGGAGACCATCGAGACAACAGTTGTTGGAGAGGACGACGATGAACAGCCCATGATCGCTTTACAGCCCCTTGACTCAGATGATCCACACTCAATGCATCACCATCATCAGGAGGTAATATTGGTGCAAACACGAGAAGAGGTGGTTGGTGAAGATGATTCGGACATGCACGGGGACGATGATTACGAGGACCAAATTCTTATACCTGTCCCAGTCCCTGCCGCTGAAGAGGAATATATCGAACAGACTCTGGTGACTGTCGCCGGGAAGAGCTCGGGGCGGATGAAGAAGGGGGGAAGCGTAAAGAGAAATAAAAAGAGTTACTTGGGTGCACCGGAGGCCAGTAGTAGAAAATGGGAACAGAAACAAGTCCAGATAAAGACTTTGGAAGGAGAGTTTTCGGTGACCATGTGGGCATCGGGTAAGTTTAACGTTAGAGCTCTATCGAAAGTGTGTTCTTGCAAATTTGCCAGCTGCATTGTTCTTGCGGTGTGTGCCCTGTAACTCGGCCTCGTACGGGCGTTGTCCTCAGGCTAATTTTAGCAGAATTCTTAACTGTTTTCCAAGTCCGAAATGCATGCCGTGTATTTGAAATGTTTTTGTTTTTATGGGAAGCCATGTTTTATGTGTTGATGGGCGCCGCCATGTTCCCCTGGAACAGTATGGCGGACCGAAAAAATGGCGTTGATTTGGCCGGGGAAAGATGGCGGCGGGTGGGAGCGAGCGCGCTGCTGCAGGAGTAGGCCGCTGTGGCGCAGTTCAGCACAGGGGCCTCGGCTCGAAACTCTCGAGAAGAACGGGGGAGGCTAGATGTCACAAGACTGGATGTGCTACTGCTAGCGACCGTTCTAACCGCGGCGAAGAGTCGACAAGAATGGAATCTCAGTCGTTTGATATTTTAGTCATTAAATTTTTTTCTCAATTGTGCAGTCTGCCTTGTTGGCTTTTTGAGACTCTGACCTGAGAATATTTATTTGAATTGTTTGGCTTTCGTCAGTTAGCTAGCTAGCTAACCTTAATCCTAGTAACAAACTGAGTTTACAGACTTGAAACGTCAGTCAGCCAGTTAACGTTAGCTAACTAGCTACCTTGATTTGAGTTTCTCAAAATCCCGACGTTAGTCTGTCTGAATTGTTGCAAGTATAGTTATGGCTATTCACTAAGTCGTACCATTAAAAACTAGGGCCATTCAAATGGAACTAAAATGTGCATTCACTTTCTGTTCAACTGTGCAGACCAAATACTGCTTTCAACTGTAAAATGTGAGATTGTGTATATTTTACACAATTATGCTCCCCAGTTTTCATGCCATACATTTTCCTGGTGGTTAGAAGAGTGATATTCTTTGTTGATTTGGTATTTCAATTGACCATTTGGGTCAGACATCAAATGCAAATCATATCCCTGTGCACCTGTTTTAACTCTGCTCCTTTGCTCTCTCAGATGACAAGAAGGAAATTGACCATGACACTATGGTGGAGGAGCATGTCATCGGGGAGAATTCCCCTCCCGATTACTCAGAGTACATGACAGGGAAGAAGCTCCCGCCCGGAGGCATCCCAGGGATCGACCTGTCAGACCCCAAAACAGCTGGCAGAATTTGCGAGGTGAGTTAGAGACACAAGGCCATGTTCATTAGGCACCTAACGGAGGGAAACTGGGAGGGACTAGTCCATTAAGAAACCCTTGTTTTCGTTTTCCGTTGCAAAACATTTCCTGTTGCATGACCTAATAAATAAAACCATATGTAGGCTTATGTACTGTTACAACGTTCCCCTCTTGAACTCTCCCAAAGTGTAGTGAATACAAGATCTTTGACCTATCATGTCTTTTGCAGGATGAAGCCAAGGAAAATAAAGGAGGACGACTCTCCCAGGACGATAGCTTGCCCCCACAAAGTAAGTGTGCTCTACTAGTCTAAGGGCTAGATTCTATCAGATCCGCATTAGCTGCAATCCGCGTAGCGGTTGTTTTGGCGGAAGTGAAACCGCGTTAGCGCTGTCAACCCCCCCCCAATATCTAAATGTACATGAAAACATGCATAAATGCCTATCATTATTTCTATCATCGATAGAGCCTAGACTTTCTATTGCCGTATTGAACTTCTAACATGGATAATAGGAAGGGAGTGGCTTTTGACACGAGCAACCGCTCACCGATTTGTCAGCTCATACCGCAGTTACACCGTCAGAACATCGCTATGCAGATGTCGGCCAACGCAGGTTAACGCTCGATCTGATTGAATGGAGTCCTAACTGGTATTGGAGAATGGTAACACAGGCACTAGAGCAGTGTTTGGGTAAATAATGGTATTCACCTAGCCGGTATGCTCTGTGATTGCCCTATAAAATCTGCATTGTGGATGGAATCCAGACATTAAAACTGAATTTATTGAACTTAGTAGGAAATGCATTAATTTGCCACAGTGAATCATAAGGCATGAACAAAATGCATCAGTTATTCGTATTTTCATGCAACTTTCTGAAACGGCAGAGGAATGCCACTGTGTGTGGTGCGCGTGCGTATGTCTACACTTTGTGTAGCCGTTAGAGATGATGCTAATGATAACTTCTTGTAGAGATGGAAAGGCTTTCCCAAAAACCTTCTCAGTTAAATGTTAACTAAAAAGTAGCCTATGATTATTTGTATCTGTCCAGTGGCCATTTGTTTAGCAAACTCTGCGATCACATGAGCGCTACAGCAACACTGCTTAACCAAACAACAGTCGCTTCCTGGTGAGCACTTGCATTAAAGGGTAATGACACCCAAAAATATATATTTATAAAAAACATTGTGTGTAGTATATATACATATGTGTATATATACATATGTGTATGTGTAATATATGTATATATACATATGTGTATATATACATATGTGTATGTGTAATATATGTATGTATGTGTAATATATGTATCGCTCTGGATAAGAGCGTCTGCTAAATGACTAAAATGTAAATGTAATGTATATGTATGTGTAATATATGTATGTATGTGTAATATACTGTATCGCTCTGGATAAGAGCGTCTGCTAAAGACTAAAAGGTAAATGTATGTATGTATGTGTAAGATATGTGTGTATATATATATATATATATATATACTATATATATATATATATATATTATATATATCTCTATATATATATAGATAGATATATTATATATATAATACTAATGTGGTCCTCTGTAGCTCAGCTGGTAGAGCACGGCGCTTGTAACGCCAAGGTAGTGGGTTCGATCCCCGGGACCATCCATACACAAAAAAAAATTTATGCACGCATGACTGTAAGTCGCTTTGGATAAAAGCGTCTGCTAAATGGCATATTATTATTTATAATATATATATATATATCATAATAATCTATTTAAAAAGTTAGCTTTTGAAAGTGAAAACTGAAACCTGGAGAATCTTATTTATTTTTATAAACCAAATCAGGCAAAAAAGAAAACAGATTTTATAGGGCCCTATCTATAGCTTATTTGTGGTCTGATGTGGACCTTTTGGTTTTGTCATTTCTGAAGTTCGCAGTGATTAATTGCTACCTTTGCCTCTGCAGGGGTGCACTAAAATGTTCAGGGATAACTCGGCGATGAGGAAGCACTTGCACACCCACGGACCGCGTGTTCACGTCTGCGCCGAATGTGGAAAGGCCTTTGTCGAAAGCTCCAAACTGAAGAGGCATCAACTTGTTCATACCGGAGAGAAGCCTTTCCAGGTATGTTTCCCCCAGCCCCTTCAAAATGGCTTCATATTGAGAGATCTACTTCTTGTCAAACAATTACAGTTTCACAGGGTTGCAATCTCTGCACTTTTAGCGAGCTAGCTGATGTTAGCATCTTAAGTTGGCAAGCTAACGTTACCGTATCTTTTCATTTCGCCTGTAAGAATAAGCAGGCCAGTCTGACTGTGCTTCGCTGTCACGCAGCCTCTGAGTGCCACTGCCATAAAGGAAAAACGTCGCACAGTGACAGTCATGCTTGCGCCTTTACATCACTGAAAACCGGCAGTTTCTAGCCCAAACCACTCAAGTTATGCCCCATATTACCGGAGCTACCTTCTCCGCTTTCTACTGCAATACTACTTGGTATCGTGATACTTGGCCTGGTATCACATTATTGGTATTGTGACAACCCCATTTAGAAAATAGGCACATTTTCTTGCAGTTTACAGAAATGTTTTGCTTGTTTCCGCCCTCACCAGTTTGCATCCCTGTGTATACATTTAGTTTGATTCTCAACACTTCTAACTTAACTTATACATGGCATGTATGGCAATGCACCCATAGATGCCCAGATTGTCAACCAGCATTGCAGCCTCATAATTAAATCTACTCTCTCCTTCTCTTTAAGTGCACATTTGAGGGCTGCGGAAAGAGATTCTCCTTGGACTTTAACTTACGCACGCATGTGCGGATTCACACTGGAGACCGACCCTACGTCTGTCCGTTCGACGGCTGCAACAAGAAGTTTGCCCAATCCACCAACCTCAAGTCTCACATCCTCACTCATGCTAAAGCTAAAAACAATCAGTGACTGTGAACCAACCACCTCGGCGGCAGCGCCTTATGCCCCCTAAGAGCTAGGAAATGTACAGAGATGAAAACAACGAACTCTAAAGATGATGCTTAACGCCTCCTACCCTGCCACCTAGGCACAATCCCGAAAGAAAAGCATAACGTTTCTTCTTGTGAAGATGTGAAGTTCTTGGACCTGCAACCGAAAAGACAAGTTATTTATACTGCAGTGCCCAAAGAGAAGGAATCGACATTTAAAGTAATGTGCTCCATCAGCATTGCAAAATAATTGCTTTTAAATTTTGTACCCTTTTCTAAGTGTGCATATTGTACACTTTCTCTGGCTTAGTGGTATTATGCATGTTTTGTTTTCCCTGAGAATTGAAATCTATGATAGCTCTTCTTGGAGGAGAATTTGCAGTTTATTGTACCTCTCTGCTTTTTTTTTCCCCTATAAAAAGTTTATTTGGGTGGGTAGGGGTATTCTTTACAGATTTTTCATTTTGTATAATTGTAACGTACAGATATATTGGAATCATGTACATAATAGCAATGTGATTTAAGTAGTGTTAACTGATTTAAAACCGTTTTCTTTTTTCCCTGCACTGCCAGAGAGCAAAAACATGTCATATCCATCAAATCCTTTCTGTTTAGTTGAACACACAATACAACCAGAACTGGTGTTCAGTTGCATTATTAAAATGTTTTGTACAGGCAGCATTAACTTTAGCTAATATTGACCTCTCCAATAAGCGGCCAATAAAAACATGTCCATAAGCAAGCAATTATTAGAAGTTTGTTTCAGACAATTCCTACTTTATGTACAGTAGATTGTATACGCCTTAAAGGGGCACCCTGCAGTTGAAACAATAACAGCATTTTCCCCACCCCTGTTTTGGTAAAAAGCTGAAGGATGCGCCTAGAGAAATGTAACCACTCTCATATACAGACTGAGCATTCATTATATAAAAATGATATTTTTAACCATGTTTTTAGGCTATATAGTGGTTGTTTACATGTACTTTGTTTACAAACATTGGAGTAAAACAAGCTTATATTTTCGGTTCTGATGGGTACAACGAGTATACTACTACGGCAGGTAGCCTAGCGGTTAGAGCGTTGGGCCAGCTAACTTGCTTAAGGTCTATCCAATTTGTATCGGTCTAGAGTTACAGATTGCACGATAGAAGTGAAGGTAATTTCCGATTGAGCTGACATGCAGCGTTTACCGTGAATGCAGTCTCCGCCAATGCTGAAATATTGAATTCATTTTTAATTGGGCTTTAGCGCTGAACTTCCGGAATGCAGATTGAATAGAGCCCTAAATATTCTGAAATAACACCCCAAAAGAATGAAATATGGGCATGGTCTAATAAGCCAACAACCAAAAACAGATATAAATGTAGCTTTCTTAATTGAACCTGAAAATCTGTAGTTATTTTTGGTTGTTTATCAAAGTTAGCTGGCTAGCTCATTCATCCTGCTTTGTAGTATACCCCTGAGCCCAATACGATGTACAGTGCATTCGGAAAGTATTCGGAACCCTTGACTTTAAACATTTTGTTACGTTACAGCCTTATTCTAAAATGGACTAAAGAGTTTTCCCCACTCATCACACTATCCCATAATGACAAAGAAAAAACTGTTTTCTAGGATCATATTTACATAAGTATTCAGACCCTTTACTCAGTACTTTGTTGAAGCACCTTTGGCAGTGATTACAGCCTCGAGTCTTCTTGGGTATGACGCTACAAGCTTGGCACACCTGTATTTGGGGAGTTTCTCCAATTCTCTGCAGATCCTCTCAAGGTCTGTCAGGTTGAATGGGGAGCGTCACTGCACAGCTATTTTAAGGTCTCTCCAGAGATGTTTGATCGGGTTCAAGTCCGGGCTCTGACTGGGCCACTCAAGGACATTCAGAGACTTGTCCCGAAGCCACTTGTGTTGTCTTGGCTGTGTGCTTAGGGTCTTTGTCCTGTTGGAAGGTGAACCTTCGCCCCAGTCTGAGGTCCTGATCGCTCTGGAGCAGGTTTTCATCAAGGATCTCTGTACTTTGCTCCGTTCATCTTTCCCTCGATCCTGACTAGTCTCCCAGTCCTTGACGCTGAAAAACATCCACACAGCATAATGCTGCCACCACCCTGCTTCACCGTAAGGATGGTGCCAGGTTTCTTACAGACGTGACGCTTGGCATTCAGGCCAAAGAGTTCAATCTTGGTTTCATCAGACCAGATAATCTTGTTTCTCATGGTCAGAATCCTTTAGGTGCCTTTTGGCAAACTCCAAGCGGGCTGTCATGTGCCTTTTACTGAGGAGTGGCTTCTGTCTGGCCACTCTACCACAAAAGCCTTCTGGAAGGTTCTCCCATCTCCAAAGAGGAACTCTGTCACAGTGACCATTGGGTTCTTGGTCACTTCCTGACCAAGGCCCTTCTCCCCCGATTGCTCAGTTTGGCCGGGCAGCCAGCTCTAGGAAGAGTCTTGGTGGTATCAAACTTCTTCCATTTAAGAATGATGGAGGCCACTGTGTTCTTGGGGACCTTCAATACTGCAGACATTTTTTGGTACCCTTCTCCAGATCTGTGCCTGGACACAATCCTGTCTCGGAGCTCTACGGACAATTCCTTCGACCTCATGGCTTGGTTTTTGCTCTGACATGCACTGTCGACTGTGGGACTTTTTATATAGACAGGTGTGTGCCTTTCCAAATCATGTCCAATCAATTGAATTTACCTCAGGTGGACTCCAATCAAGTTGTAGAAATATCTCAAGGATGATCAATGGAAACACGATGCACCTATGCTCAATTTCGAGTGTCATAGAAAAGGGCCTGAATACTTATTTACATAAGGTATCCGTTTTTTGTTTTTATTATATTTGAAAAAAATTCTAAACCCGTTTTCGCTTTGTCATTATGGGGTATTGTGTGTAGATTTGAGGATTAAGGCTGTAACAAAATGTGGGAAAAGGGAAGGGGTTTGAATTCTTTCCGAATGCACTGTATGTGGTTTGAGGAGTTAGCAATGTAACTTTGGATAACCGGTACCACGAAAGTGGCTGATCTTTTAGCCAGGTACGTTTCTATGGCAATGAATCCTTAAGAACTAACCTGCTCTGGGGCAGGCTAACTAACTCCATTATCTTGAATGAAGTGTCTGAGCCGGAAGTTGAGGACCAATTAAATCAGATTCCCTCCCTCTCGCAAAGATTTGAGGAAGATTAAATTTCATTAATCAAATATTTTATATATATATATATATATATATATATAATTTTAAAATACCTATCACATTTAATAATGACAGAATGGGGGGAAGGTGCTTGTGCATTGATAAGCACACGGCAGCTAGCCTAGCTGTTAAGAGCGTTGGGCCAGTAACCAAAAGGTTGTTGGTTCGAATTGCAGAGCAGGCAAGGTGAAAAGATATGCCGTTCTGCCCATGAGCAAGGCAGTTAACCCCCACCAACAACTGCTCCCTGGGCGCCGATGACATCGATTAACTCCTCGATCACACCAACTGTGAAATCCAGTCCCCTGTAGCTCAGTTGGTAGAGCATGGCACTTGCAACGCCAGGGTTGTGGGTTTGTTTCCCACGGGGGGCCAGTATGAAAATGTATGCATTCACCAACTGTAAGTCGCTCTGGATAAGAGCGTCTGCGAAATGACTAAAATGTAATGTAAATGAATGCTGCGTTTGCCTTGCAGCATTGCATTGCAGAGGCAGTTGCAGTGCGTTCTGTGTGGTGCATTCGTTGAATTTAACAAGCTGTATGCGTAGACGGCTTGATAGAAATGTTAGCAGAAGGTGAATGTTTAACGTTTGTTGCACACAAATCCAGATGATGCCGCGTACCATTTTGCGTAAAAACACTGTCGGTGTGATCAAGGCGTAAGGTAGCCCACCGCACCTCTGATTCAGAGTGGTTGGGTTAAATACGGAAGACACTGTCGTGACGTGACTTTAATAGATGTGATGACTGTTATTTATCGAATCGACTAACTATGTTTTATATTGTTACCCAATGAAATTAATCATGTAACAATTAACTCATTAGGGATTTGGGGCACCACGGAATAAGTTGTTTAACGAGTTACCATCTCCTGAATTAAACTTAGAAGACATATGTTATATCGATAACAGTCACTTATTAAATCATTACCTCATATCAGTCTCATTCTGAACGTCGCATAATCCTTGAATCTGCAAGAACCCTAACCTTATGAGTCGGCAATACACAAATTGGCGTAATTATTTATTTACTAGCTAACTCAATAACACAGAATACATACATATTTAATAAATGAGAAAAGTCCCTAGCGGACTAACAGCATGACTGCTTGGTTATCAAAACGTGGAGGGGTCAATAGAAGGGGGGAGAGCGGGACAGAGAATCAAACTTATCGTACATACATTTGGAAACTACGCTCACAGTAATCAGAATACTTAGCACCCTAACCACCGCCCGTTTTGGTAAGAAATAAAATGTAAACTCAGCAAAAAAAGTATTTCAAAGATAATTTGTAAAAATCCAAATAACTTCACAGATCTTCACTGTAAAGGGTTTAAACACTGTTTCCCATGCTTGTTCAATGAACCATAAACGATTAATGAACATGCACCTGTGGAACGGTCGTTAAGACACTAACAGCTTACAGACGGTAGGCAATTAAGGTCACAGTTATGAAAACTTAGGACACTAAAGAGGCCTTTCTACTGACTGAAAAACACCAAAAGAAAGATGCCCAGGGTCCCTGCTCATCTGCGTGAACGTGCCTTATGCATGCTGCAAGGAGGAATGAGGACTGCAGATGTGGCCAGGGCAATAAATTGCAATGTCCATACTGTGAGACGCCTAAGACAGCACTACAGGACGGACAGCTGATCATCCTCGCAGTGGCAGACCACGTGTAACAACACCTGTACAGGATCGGTACATCCGAACATCACAACTGCAGGACAGGTACTAGGATGGCAACAACAACTGCCCGAGTTACACCAGCAATGCACAATCCCTCCA